TTTGACACTTGGATCGACTTAAAGGCTTTGAACATGTTGTTTTCACAGAACAAATAGAAGGCAACAGAATCAGGCGTAGACAAAGAATAAATTACTTATAAAAAATCTTAAAGAGAATGGTGACGAAACAAGCTCAGGATAATGGTATATGTACTTGAGAGAATCCGAGCAGAGAAATGAACGATGTTTGCTTCAGTTCTGGTTTAAGAAGAACCCCTCCCCCCCAAAAAAAAAAAAATTATATATATATAAATTATATATATATATATATATCGAGGAGCTGACTACTATTGCTCTACGTTTAGAGAGCATTGGCCTGCTGCAAAACTCCGGGCGGAAACGTGTTTGTTTTACAGCCTTTATCTAACGAACAGAGAGGATCCTTTTTCTTTAAATAGGATATAGACTCAGGATTCAGGTATCGAGAAGGCAGTGTGTGTTAAATTATCAGAAAATATGAATATAACATGTGGTGCAAAACTAACGAAAAATGGTTCACGAGAAGCACGCTCAAGAATATACTCTGGTTACTTAATCAATAGTGTACGTTGTTTTCTAAAATTGATTGTTGATTTGTGCACCTAGTTGTGTTACCGTTTCTTCTGTAGCATATTAGGTTGTTCCATTCTGATCGTCCTCTCGTTTTTCTTCTATCCCTTCAGTGCTAATTTGTAATTCGTAACTTTGAAAAAATGTGACAAGAGGCTCTAAAGGAAGGACTCACACATATCGAATCCAACTGAAGGACTTAAAGATGGTAGTTCTGTTTATGTCAACCCCCTCCCCCTCCCCACCCTTTCTACTTCTTCTTCTCTCACCCCCACTTCACCCCCCCCCCCATTTTACAAACACACACACACACACACACACACACACACACACACACACACACACACACACACACACACACACACACACACACACACACACTGAGGTGAACATTGTTACACATGCACGCACTCACTCACGAACATGCACACGATCGTAAACACCATACATCAAACCTACAAGTTAGTCCTTGAGATGCCTATGTCTTCCGAATGAACAGAACAAGAGGTAATCACGACATCTTAACAACCAAACTATGGTTTTCTCAGACTTACCAAGGCCCAGACCAGCAGTTTGCATGGTACCCTGTCTTCTGGTACCCGTGTTATGATTGGCTATTGTGCTCGTTGAGTGCATGCGTAGTCTGTGGGGGAGGAGGGTAGTGTCCGAGAAAATTTGCCTGATTCCTCAGTCTGACCAAATTGTCTGGTTTTCTCTCGTGGGATTTCTTCGAGGTCAAAGTCTGCACTCTCCATCCCGACCTGAGAAAAAGAAATTGGTTTCACTTTGGTCAGTGTCCTTAAGCCTCATTTAGACAGACTACGTCTACATATCAAGAGGCCGAAGTCTGCGGCGACATCGTTAGGCTCGCCACCGTTGCGCGTAGATGTTTTTTTTTTTGTGGAAGGGTTGGTTGTTAGAGAACCGGAAAGCCTGTGAAAGGACAACATTTTTTAGAGAAGAAAATTTTCAGTCTCTATCCAGATTCGAACCCAGGACATATTGAATGAGAGGTGAAAACCCTAACCCCAAAACCACGAGGGCCCGGTGTAGAAAATGTGAGTTTCATTCCTGTGTCGGGAAGTCATGTTATCGAAAATCTCCGTATATCTGCCTACTGGGATGTTGATTTCCTCTCCGCCCATGGCGACCCAGATAGGCAGAATCGAAGCAGCTCGTCACATAGTACAAAAGTATTATAGATTGTGTCGAATGGAACGTGAAACATTTACGCACAATGAACATGTCAAGAGACGTCGAGTACATTACGACATCCGTCCGGGTTGAGACTGTTTGACTGCCACAGAGCCTCTCGTTCTGCCATACCTCGTTATTAGCAAAGAATGTGTCTCCGGTATAGTGCAGGTTGGAACCTTTTTGAATCAAACCCAAAAAAACTACTTCATGGAAGCGAATTTCTAAACTATCTCACAACACTAATCGTAAAGAGGAGAAAGTCCCACGGAAAAGGAACATACGCATGTCCTTTGGGGGGGGGGGGGGCATCGTCTTTGTTTTGTGTATGGGTGTATTTTTTTAAAGGAAAATTGGATATTGCTCCTCATAAATCAAACAAGAACGTATAAATTGAAAGTGGAGCTGCTGCTTGCTTTTTCGCCGAGTATAGAATTTTTTTTATAGACGAACAAGTGCACAAATTTATTAAGAGCACGTTCTTCTGAGTGCAAGAAATGAGTTTCGCCATTATTGAATTACCATGGTTGTAGCGAAGTTAGATAATAAAGACCTCCCTACCACCTCCATCCCCCTTTTACACACCAAGAATACACACACAAATACACACACATTCACCCACTCACACAATTTCCTCCCTGGAAGTAGGTCATCAAGCTCAAAGGCAATTTTCCAGTAAGGAAGATTGCAACTCTCACCTTCAGCTAAGGCGCTGATCTCGACCTCTCTCATCCGAGCGAAAATCGGAATGGAATCACAGCTACCGTCGAGGAAGGATTGAGATTTTAGCTTCAATGTTTCTGCTTAAAGCGATTTTGTATTACATAATTCAAGGGAGAATCAATGCCTTGTGTTAGTTTGGTCTAAGGTGGAGGAGAAGACAAGGAACAATTAAAGCTTTGACTTATTTTGGTTAAAAATAGAGGGGAATAATTTTAAAATTAATACAGAAAAGTGCTAAAAATGTTCGGATAAAAAAGGGGAAGGAGTAGATAGATTAAGAGAAAAGGGGAGAGGAGTAGACAGAGATTTAAAAAAAGAAAGAAGTCGAGTGGAAGAAACAGGCTTAAAAAGAAATCAGAGAGAGAAAGAAAGATACAGGAAAGAGGGAGAAAGAGGGGAAAAGAAAGAGAGGACGAGTGAGAGTGAGAGAGTAAGAGAATAAATAAACCGAGAACGATCCAAGCTCGCTGATCGAAAATAAAATAGGCTGGAACACACAAACACACTGTGCGGCAGTCATAGAGAACTTCAAGGAGTAACAGAAAGAAAGCACAAAGACAATCTGGATTTTAGTGTCGATTGGACTGACCAAGATGTGAGCAGTTATACTTTCCCGACATAGGTGGCCTTGTCTGGAACTGTCATTGCAAGGGAGTAATGGCGTCATTGTACGGGGGTTGAGTCGTTTCTTGTCTGGGAGAAGATTGCCGGTTGGTGACAGGGTGAGGGTGATAACAGGTCTGGTTATCGTTAGGGATGTTGTCGTAAACTTGGTGGCCTCTTTGATCTGGATTTACTGTAGGCGTTTAAGTCTTTTATGTTACATTTTGAACAGGTAATCTTGTGTCTCTGGGTTGTTCTAGCACGCTTTAGCATCGCTCACGGTGGTTTCTTTGCCCGTGATTACACTTTTTGTTATTCAGTGAAACAAAACCAGATTTTTTAGTCCATGGAACGCAATTGTCAAGAAAATATCCCAACATTTACAACACTCAGACCAAACAGCGTGTCTCTATCATAGTAATCCAGTTGGTGTGTGACCAAACTGCATGCATGTTTCCCTGAACAATAACTTTTTAAATTAGACATTATATGAATGTCAGCTAAAATCTGAACTTAATCTTTTTTCTCCGGAACCGACATTGCAGAGGGGCCACGCTGCATAGAACATGAAACTGAATTAATAACTCGAAGACCGTTGATTATATCACGAAGCTTACCATTTACCTCCCTCTCCTCACCCTCCTCCTTTTCACAGCGACACCCACGCTGACCCCAGCAATTCTTTGTCCACAGGAGAACGACCTCGGGAATAAATGTGCCATCTCGGGTTGATTTAAGCCTGCCTTATTCCGGTCAGTGGAACGACTCACGGACTCGAGAAGCGTCGTAAAAGGACCTAACCTTAGTCCAACAATAAAACGCGGTCTAAATGTCCTGCTATGTACTTGCGGACATCCTGGTTTTGAGGAGGGCAGAGCGGAGAGGTGGCGAGTCATATGGAGAGGTTAGGAGAGTAATTTTTTCGTGTTTGCGATTGTGGTGGTTACGAGTAGCTTGCGAGAATCTACGACTGCTCTATTGGCCTCAATTCCAACTCTCGGAGCACTCCTGTTTCTAAGGCAGCGTACGAAGGGTTAATTGCTTATTTGTTCTGCAACCTTTGCCAGGGCAACAATTTTTCATATATATACAACTATGTGTAACTCTCATTGGCAAGTAAGATTTTGGAAGGAACTTAACGTTGGGGTACATTAGATCTAGATAAAACTCTAAAGCAGAGAATGAATTCTGTGCTCTATTAATAAAAAATAAAAATTTAAGATCTCTAGACTTAGCATGCATATGAAACAGTTCACCGTTAATGTTAGCCAAATAGGTTTTTCAGTCAATCATTTATAAGTTTGTAATGCGATGTGCTTTTCTGGAACCTGATGATTGTTGTTAAAGTGTAGATGTCCTTCATCCTGTTTCTCTCTTGTAAAATTGTAGATGTACAACTGCAGGAGCAATTCATTGATGCTGGTTCCGGTCTCCAAACCCGCGACCACTTCTGTAAATGTTATTGCAGTCTTGGTGTACTCGTTTGCCACGAAAGTATTTGTTAAGTCAAATTTGGTTATTGGGGGGGGGGGGGGTATCACGCCCTGAATCTAAGGTTTGCCGTGAGCTGCATAACTTTATATTTCTCTTGGTGGTGTAATCAACCACGTCGCGCATGAAGACAAGAGACAAAAAGGCACGTTATAAGCAAGCACAGTAATGGAATGATTCTGGGTCTGGACAGAGAGTGCTAATTTCGCTGGATGTGCTGGAAAAATTCACAAGTTCCAATTACTGACGTCAGATTCTGAACGGAAGAGAAATTTTGCCATTTTCGGTTGTTTTGTTCATGTTTTATTTTGTAATGTTTATATTGGGGGGGGGGGGGGTGTTTTTTCTATTTTTTTTTTTTTTTTTTATTGGGGGGGGGGGGGGTTGTTTTGTCTCAATGTTGCTTTCAATCTGTCAATGTTATCTCTAGTTCTGTTTGGGTGTTTTTTCAGATTGCTTTGGTGTACCACTGATATGAGGCTAACACGCGTGAAGTGTTAGCATACGCCACTAAACCGCACCTGTGAACATTCAGAGACCAAGATAAAACAATGCCATTGCCGGTGATATAATGGACAAAACAAGGTAAAGTATGAATTGAAAAACCTAATAGCTGGTCTGTGCACTAATTGGAGGGGGGGGGGCGCTCTAATAAAGCCTGTAGTAGTACGGCAAACCAAAATGTTACTATTGTGGCATATATAGGTTAGTCTAAAGTTGGTCAAATTGCTTGAAATGCTGATTAGCACCATTTTGTAGTGCACTTCTTTTTCTGACGTATGGACAGGCGTAAATTGTTTGAGTATGTCACAAATTGTTCAATTTCTTTTTAAATAAATTGCAGTATCTGTGAGTTTGGTGCAATTAGTGCGGGGGGGGGGGGAATAGAGTTGGGGGGGGGGCGAGTGTGAGTGTGAGGGTTGGGCGTATAAGGGATAGAGCAGAGCAGAGAGAGACGTATGAAGTCCACTTGAGACGACGTGGGAACTTATTGTGTGTGAGTGTGAGTGTGTGTGTGTATGTGCGTGTGTGTGAGTGTGTGTGTGTGTGTGTGTGTGTGTGTGTGTGTGCGCGCGCGCGCGCTCGCGTGAGTGCATCTACTCTGTAGCAAGAATATACAGTATTGATGTACAAAACTAGTATGAATTTCTCGTTTGATGCCTGTTGGGTTTGTCATCGTAGTTGATATATTATTGTTGATTCATAAATTAGATAGGAATAAAATCCAAGCTACAGACGCGATTTATCTATTAGGCCTTAGCCACAGCAACAACGCTATTAATTTGTTCTGGGTTGATGTTTTTTCCTTCTGGGAAATAAGGGGCCTTAAATCGTTTTATCAATTCTGCCTGTTCTGGGCGATTTGTGGTGGATTAAGGACATCTGAAACTTATCGGTCATAGTATTTTCACGTTTCCCGGCGACATCTGGTTCCAATCGTTTTGTCGTTTCTACTTCTCAGACCTACTTACTGATTTCCCCACAGGGGCGGGATAGAGAGAGAAATTCATCATAATCTCCCTGTCGGCACATGGAGGCAGAATGCAAATATCTATCTCATTTATGATAGGTTGCGAATCCCTGCTTTCTAATCAATTCCCATGAGGCTAACTCCCAGCTCTTGATCCTCATAGATTCACTATCTTCTGTTGACCCTTTTTCTCAAAAACAGTCAACATGGCAGAAAAAACGGGTACACACGGTTTAAGTAAATCTCTCTTTTCTCTCTCTCTCTCTCTCTCTCTCTCTCTCTCTCTCTCTCTCACACACACACACACACACACACACACACACACACACACACACACACACACACACACACACACACACACACTTCCCCCCCCATCTTTCTCTCTCTCTCTCTCTCTCTCTCTCTCTCTCTCTCTCTCTCTCTCTCTCTCTTTCTCTGTATATTATTATGTGTATGTGTGTGTGCGTGTGTGTGTGTGTGTGTGTGTTTCTCTGTCTCTCTCTGTCTTGGCCTCTGATTAATTTGATCTTTCGTTCTCTCTGTATCCCTCGCTTTCTCTCTGTCTATTGCTCACTCTCTCCTTTCAACTCCTTCCCCATTCAATCTCTCTCTGTCTCTTTCTGTCTCTCTGTCTCTGTCTCTGTCTCTGTCTCTGTCTCTCTCTCTCTCTGTCTCTCTCTCTCTCTCTCTCTCTCTCTCTCTCTCTCTCTTTCTCTCTCTCTCTCTCTCAATCCTAAGGCCACTCAGAAATAGCGCACCTCTAATCATCGTTCAAGACAGTGTTATTGTTTACTGTTTCGGTGCTGAGTTCTATATATGTATATAATACAATATTACGTAGTAATCACCGCCCCTCGGGCTTATTATCTCTCTTGTGAAGGTAAAGAAAGGTTTCTAAGGCGTTGTTACGCCAATAACGAGCTACTGGAGCCAGCCACACTCAGTCGACAACAGTTCTCATATGTCTGAAGAAAACAGCAGACATTAGTGATGCCCAGAGTGAACATGATTAGTGGCGTCCGGGGACAGGTCTAGCGACTTCGTGTTACGTCGTTAGACATCACCATTGCCACACTACAATCACAGCTAAATGTCGGTCTATTTCCAGACCCGATTTCCCGTGGTGTTCTCAAGTTGCCGCGCTTTCTCTTCTCCTTCTCCCTTGTTTTGTTGGGGAGGGGGGGGGTTGTTTTTTAAAGCATTTTTATGGTACCAAAATGACGTTCAGAGGGGTTATATATTTATTTAAAAAGCTAAATGGCAATGTCTATAATAAGGACGTCATCAACAGACTGGCCTTTACATGAAGAGCTTACTAAGCCATGGACGCCAACAGTTGTTTTTTTTTTGGGGGGGGGGTTGGGGGGAGGGGGTTGGTGCAAGGTGTACGCTTCGAAGTCGTAACCTCAACGACATGTATAAAGACAAGCTCGCTGTCAATTCCAAAAAACTTGTTGATACATCGTGAGCAGAACACACAATGTGCATAAAATGACTCCAATAGCAAATATTCTGGAGTGTGAACTCCTTCAAGCTGGCTGGTGAGTGATTTATTTTCGTCGTCTCACTCCGTTTTCACAAGCAGCCCCTGTTGTTTAGGGGACGACATCCGACGTTTTTAATGTCTGCCTGAAGTGTAATTAATTAAGAGAACCTTTGCGATAATTCTTTCTTTGTGGACAACACCTTCCAGCTTGCCAGCTCTTTGGAACAAAGACGTTGGTCCCATTTTTAGAATGAGACAGATTTGATTTAAACAAAGCAAAAAAAACAAGTTTGTTCTAACTTTTGCACCCTCAGAAGGAAAAAAAACACCTGAAAAGGGGGATGGAGAGGTGGACGATGTTGTTTATTAAAACCATATTTAAGTTTCGTGCCTCTCGGGAAACCCTAAGTCTCAATAAACAAAAGCGTAATGTTACGTCTTCCAGCCGTCTGGTAAACACATCAGTTTTGCTGCTCTCTCTCTCTCTCTCTCTCTCTCTCTCTCTCTCTCTCTCTCTCTCTCTCTTTCTCTTTCTCTTTCTCTCTATCTATCTATCTATCTATCTATCTATCTATCTATCTATCTATCTATCTATCTATCTATCTATCTCTCCCTGTCTCTCTTTTTCTCTCTCTTTCTCTCTCTCTTTCATTCTCTCTCCCTGTCCCTCTCTATCTCTCTCCCCCTCTCTCTCGCTCTCTCTCTCTCTCTCTCTCTCTCTCTCTCTCTCTCTCTTTCTCTCTCTCTCTCCGTAGACGTCTGCTCCCCCTACAAGTCTTACAGGTCACGTTCAATACCAGACTGGTCATTCATCATCATCAGTATCAACTGTCGCGCCCAAATGGATTCGATAGGTCACGGCTCTGGTTTTGGCTCTTGCTTTTTTGTGAAGAGGGCTTTTTTTTTTGTCTTTTTGGGGAGTTATTTGATTCATTTTTGTCTATAGGTTTTGTTTGTTTGTTTGTTTTGTTTGTTTTTAACTGTAGACTTAGCTAACATTTCCTTATACTTTCACTTGGTCAATGTTTTTTATGCGCTATATTTTTTTTATTTGGTTTTGCTTGTTTTTGTTTGTTTATGTTTTGGGGTCACTATGTCTGTTTCTGTTCCTCTGCCTCTCTAACTGTTTCTCTGTTTGTTTGTCTCACTCACCTATCTCTTTTTCTCTCTCTCTATCTTCCTAACTATCTATCTCTCTTTTTTTTCTCTCTGACAATCTCTCAGTGATACTTATGAATCCAATGGCAAATACATAATGCCGCCTGTCTTCAGATGTCGTAACACTTGAAAAGAAATTAGTTATTTTATCCTCATGTTTTACTTTTCTCTTCCCCTGAAAGACAAAATTTTTACTATCATTCTATAAGAACTGTGGCTAATGTTCAAATACCCTATCGAATAGCTTTTTTAAATATCCAATTCAGATCATACATAAGATGTAGGCTCCATCGCAGTGAGCCAACGTTTTGATCTTAATACTTTAGTTTGACTACCACAGCAAAATCCACATGAATACCTTATATCAAATACTAATAGAGCTAGCTCCACATTTTGTGAACTAAGAGGCTCAAATGTCTTGAACACCTAACCTCCCTCTCTCTCTCTCTCTCTCTCTCTCTCTCTCTCTCTCTCTCTCTCTCTCTCTCTCTCTCTCTCTCTCTCTCTCTCTCTCTCCCTCTCTCTCTCTCTCTCTCTCTCTCTCTCTCTCTCTCTCTCTCTATCTATCTATCTATCTAGCTTCTCTGCAGACGCCCCCCCCCCCACACACACACATGTTTTACTGGTCACTCCATATACTAGACTAGTCATCTATCATCATCAGTATCAACTGCCACAAAACCGTATATACGATTTTTAAGCGTTGAATTAATTTTGCCTCAATGGTTTCGCAGATGGCATTTTAACAGTTGAAATTCTATTTTACTCCAGGGTCAAGAAAATGAAAACGCTGTAGTCCGTATGCACGTTCTACTTTCAAATGAGATTTAAGAGTGCCTTTCGTCAATTTATTTTGGACTTATCTGTCCCCGTTTCTGTCCACTCCTCTTTCTTTGGCTACCTCAATATGAGCTATCGTGTCGCTCTGCGTGACTCGCTGTCTCAAAGTGGAGCATCCTCGCCCGCCACTGTTCCTAAGGTCCAGAGCCGTACCGTTGTAACATAAGAAGAATTCCAGAGAGAAATGGGCCTTCAGCTGCCACAGGAAAATCAGATAAAAATTGAATGTAAAAGTCAATGAACCCGGGTCATCTCCAACCATGTAATCAGTTTAAAGGATCTCAAATCTAATTTGGACAGTTCATGATGGAGGTGAACCCCAGGTTGGCATTAGCAGCGGAAGCTGATGAGATGTAGGCAGGAAGTGGTCAGGATTTTAACAAAGTGTTTCAGGATAGGAATCTCCTGAGGCTTTTGTTGTGACGACTTGTAGGTAGGTGGGTTAACTTGTTGTAGGTACACTGACCGAGTTGATTTGTATGCCGGGGACGCTCAAAGACACGTTCACTGCTGGAGTTTAGGGAAATCGGGAGCAAATTGAAAGTAACACAGTATTTTACATTAATAGCCTTTCGAGCAGAGCAGTTAACAAGTTTATGTTCTCCTGTCATATTCGTCAAGAAATGTTGA